CTTTCTGAAGCCCTGGTGGCCTGGTGGTTCCCGGGGTTGCCCTCTCATAAATGGGATTTCTCAGACGTTCTTCTCTTTCTAGGGTCTGTTCTGCTGAAGGGAAGGATGTGGGATGGGGAGTGGGTGGGAAGTCCTCAGACTCTTAGGAGAATCCACTTGCCTGCAACAGACGCAGTGCCTGCCATGCAGTCGCTAGTGTGGAACACCACCTAGTGTGTGTGACCCGGTGGCTCCCACCCAAGTCTGACCAGAAGAAGGGGGGAGCTGGTCAGAGCAATTCAGTGCTTCCTTCTTGAGTTATTTGGAAGCAAAGCCTTTTGCAAGAAAACAGCCTTGCTTCTTGTCACCGTGTGCAAGTATTCTTTGAAACCTTGCCTCCCTGTTTCTGTTGTTTGAAAACATCTTCACCTGCATGCTGATATTTGGCTCCAGATGGGGGAAGATTATGGCAAATGCAATGTCCACAAGGCCGGACTGGTGGGACTCATTGCTTTATAAGGGGCATGGAACACATTTCATGACTTTGTGCTCAAACCTTGTGCTGTCTTCCTGTTTTCTGACATTGTCAGCCAACATCAATTTAATAAAATTTTAGAGTTTTATTTTAAAACTGGTCAAGTCAGGCCACACCTGTAATCCCAGCAATTTGGGAGACTGAGGCAGGAGGATCACTGGAACCCAGGAATTTGAGACCAGCACTGGCTACATGGTGAGACCCTGTCTATACAAAAAAAAAGAAAAAAAAAATAGAGTGTGGTGGTTGTGAGCTTATAGTTCTAGCTACTGGAGAGGCTGAGGTGGGAAGATTGCTGGAACATGGGAGGTTGAGACTGCAGTGAGTACTGCTGCACTGCAATCTGGGCAACAGAATAAGACCCTTTCTCCAAAAAACAAATAAACAACAACAAAAAAAAACTGGTCAACAGGTTTAATTCATTAATTCAGTGAAGATTCCAGTGCCTGCTGTGTGCCTGTAGTCAGTGGTAAGCCACAGCAGTTTCCTGCCACTCATAATATGACAATTAAAACTTTTAAATGTATGGCTGCTTGGGGTCTGGGAAGTGGCCTGTTCCTCAGCAAATTTTGACTGATAAATTAATGCCTGGGTCTTCAGCCTGGTTCTTTGCTGGCCAGTGTGACAGGAGCCTGTCACATCTCTGGGGGCACCTTATAATTATGAGACGTAATCTTTCTCCAGTTCAGGGGCAGCTGTGAATCAGGGGTACTGCCCCAGTAGAACTATGAACATCCAGCAAAAGACTGTTTTCAAAATACTCCAATTAAATGAAAAAAGCATGAAGTGGGCCAGTGTGGGTAGTGTGTACCACTGTTTAGAAAAGAGGGAAGATAGAGACAATTCACATTTGTTTGCCTTCATATGCGTAAGAAATCTCTGGAAGGGCACATTAAAAGCTGAAGTCATTGGTTACCTCTGGGGAGTGGGCTGGGTAGCCGGAGATTTCACTAAATACCTTTTGAATGTTGAGGTATGTGGTTATATAGCTCTATTCAAACTATAAAGAAAAATATAACAGTGTACGATCCTAATTTTTTAAAAACATACATGTTAAAGAAGCCTGGAAGAATGTCTTCTAACACATTAGAGTGGCTTTCTTTCTGGTGGGGTGATGTGCACAGTTAGACGTCCTTGTGTGGGGCCCTTGTGAGCAGCCCAGAGATGACTAGGTGTGCTCTGATCTTCTTGTCCTCTGGCAGCACCTTGGGTGTCACAGTAGACCTGGACTTCCCTCTTTGTATGTCTTGTGCATGTGGGAGGGGGCATCTACATTGAAACTTGCTACTTTCCCCAGCTTCTCTGACTACTTCAGGCAACACTACCTTGATTTGGGTGCAAAAGAGAGAAAGAATGCTTTTAAAAAACACGAGTATTTTGAAGAAATGACAAAGGACAATAGAAATGCAGTGTCAGAAACATTTGCCCTTCAAGTTTAATTTTGCTTTTTTGTGAAAACCAGCCTGAAGGGGGAGGTTAGCTGGGAGGGAACTGAGTCAGGCACTGTGGCAGAGAGTGAGCAGGATGACCGTGAATGGGGCATTCGGTTATCTGCCTCTATAAAGGGGACGCTACATCTCCCAAGTGCTTAAAGATTAAAAATAATATATGTGCATCTCATGCTGAAGTAGCTATGAGAGCTTCAACATGGCATGGGCCTTTGCATGAGTGATGGAAATGGCCAGGAGCCTCCCTCCCTTTGGTTTGTTAAAGAACATCACATGAGTTCAGGCCCTAAGGGTCCTCCCTAGTGTAAAAGGACCTAGGTACAAGAAAATACTGTTAAAATTCTCCTTTTCATTATTTTGGATGCTCGTGAAGGAAATGCAAACGTAAGTCCAACATGCGGGTGATGGCCACTTCATGTGTAGACTGAGCAACGGTGCGGCGGTTCCTTTGGGGATGGTTCTGAGCCAGAGCTGCACCTTGATCAGCAAAAGCGTGACATCCTAAAGTGTTTAAGTCAATAGTAACTGAGTTTAAGATGAAACCAGCAGGACTATGTTTTCAGTGGTAAGAAGAATGCATACACAGTTGGAGCGCTGGGTCAGCGTCAGGAAATAAGGATTTTATTTCCAGCCTGGAATCAAGTTTCTCTGTGGCTTTGAGAAGTCTCTCACCCTCTCTGAGCCATCAGTGCAGGGGCTTAGAAGGTCACTTTCAATCAGGAAGCTTATGATTTAATTCAGGGCACGAAGACAGATATCCAGCCTTGAAGTACACACCAAACATGAGCCCTGTTTGTGCTGACAGTGAGAGAACCTCACATGATCAGGAGGTTTGTCCAAAACATACTGAATCAAGAACCAGGCAATCAGGCAAGCCAAAAGGATTTTTGATTTCTGTTTTAGACAGAAAGAGTTTTATACATTCTAGAATCATTCATGCTCTGATTTGTTTAAACATATGGTAAGTTTAGATAGACCCTCTTAGGTATCAAGAAAACTTTGTTTGTAGTATATTTTAACATGGAATATAAGATATAATGATGGTAATCGTGATGAATTATCCTTTAGTATAGAAGTTGAATGATGAAAATAGATTTATGTTGCCAGAGCCCTGTGACTCCAGAAACATCATTCATAAACAGTTTTGGTTCCTGAATTAGAGAAGGACTGAGGACTTTCGTAGTTTGGGGTCAGGGTGGAGACAGGCATGTGAGGGAAGGCAAGTTCAACCCTGTTCGGAGTGCCTGCCCTCTGTCCTCCTTACCTAGCCAAGTTGGGCCCATTTTAACTGAAAAAGCCAGCCCTGCCAGCTGGGTTGGACCAAACCTCATATCCTGTGCCTCCTCTGTAAGGCCCAGCAGCGATGAGGCACGAGCCTTCCCGGAGTTCTTAACTCTTCATCTTCTAAATGGGTTGTGTGCTTACAGCAGATGCTGGCCTCCCTTGGTCCCTTGGAACATCCTGTTTGCCTGGAGCAAAAGCAGAGTCTCCACTGAGTGCCTGCTGGTGCTATCCTTGGGGTTTTCATGTTTCTGAACATGGCTTCTAGTTAGCCTTCAATTGCTGGGTCATATGGTAACTCTACATTTAACATTTTGAGGAACTGCCAGACTGTTGACAAAATCATTTGCACCATTTTACATTCCTACCAAAAATGTGTGAAGGTTAAGATTCTTACACGTTCTTATCAACATGTTATCTTTTTTATTGCAGCCATTCTGGTGAGTCTGAAGAAGTAACCCCTATGCTTTTGATTTGCATTTCCCTAGTGACTAAGGAGGTGGAGCATCTTTTCATGTGTTTTTTGGTCATCTTCTTTGGAGAATGTCTATTCAAATTATTTGCCCACTTCTTAATGGGATTGTCTTTTATTATTGAGTTTTAAGAGTTTTCTTTTAATATGCCTGGACCAAGTCCCTTATCAGACATCTGATTTGCAAATATTTTCTGTCATTCTAGATTAATCTTTCACTTTCTTCATGGTGTCCTTTGAAGTACAAAGGTTTTTAAGTTTAATGAAGACCAATTTGTCTATTTTTTCTTTTGTTGTTTATGCTTTTGGAATCATATTTAAGAAAGTATTGCCTAACTCCAGTAATGAAAATTTAATTCTATGTATTTGTCTAAGAGTTTTATAAGTTTAGCTCACATTTAGTCTGTAATCCAATGTGAGTTACTTTTTATATATGGCATGAGGTAGGAGTCCAGCTTTATTGCTTTGCATGTGGATATGCCGTTGTCCCAGCACCATTTGTTGAAAAGACTACTTTTTCCCCATTGGATTATCTTGACATTCTTGTCAAAAATAAATTGATTACCAGGTACAGTAGCCCATGCCTGTAATCCCAGCACTTTGTGAGGCTGAGGCAGGTGGATCACTTGAGTCCAGGAGTTAGAGACCAGCCTGGACAATATGGCAAAGCCCTGTCTCTACAAAGAATACAAAAATTGGCCAGACGTGGTGGTGTGCACCTGTAGTCCCAGCCACTTGGGAGGCTGAGGTGAGAAGATTGCTTGAGCCCAGGAGAAGGACCTTTCAGTAAGCCAAGATCATGCCACTGCACTCTAGCCTAGGCGACAGAGCAAGACCCTGTCTCAAAAAATGAATGAATAAATAAATTGATGACAAATACAAGGGTTTTTTCTGGATTCTCAATTTTATTACTCTGGTCATTTATACATCTATATGTTAGTACTATGTGTAAGTTTTGAAATTGGAAAGTGTTAGTTCTCTAACTCTGTTTTTCATTTTCAAGATTTTGGGTATAGTGAGTCCTTTCAATTTAGGATCAGGTTGCTGATTACTACAGAAAATGCAGCTAAGATTCTGATGGGGTCATATTGAATCTGTAGATCGATTTGGGGAGTATTATTGTCTTAACAATATTAAGTTTTCTGGCTGGGTGCCATGGCTCCTGCCTATAATCCCAACACTTTGGGAGGCCAAGACAAGAGGATCGCTCACACCTAGGAGTTCAAGACCAGCCTGGGTAACATAGGAATGACCCCATCTCTACAATTTTTTTTTGTTTAATTAGCCAGGTGTGGTGGCGCATGCCTGTAGTTCCAGACTCAACAGGCTGATGCAGAAAGATCATTTGAGACAAGGAGGTTAAGGCTGCAGTGAGCTGTGATTGCACCACTGTACTCCAGGCTGGATGACAGAGAAATGCTTCATTTTGAAAAAAAAAAAGAAAAAAGTAAGTCTTCTAATCCATGAGGATGAAATGTCTTTCCATTAATTTTGATCTTCTTTATTTTTTAAGCAATGTTCTGTAATTTTCAATGTGTAAATCTTTCACTTATTTTGTTTATTCCTATTTTATCACTTGTAATGCTGTTGTTAATGGAATTTTCTTAACTTTTAGATTGTTCATTGCTACTGTTTAGAAATACAATTATTTTTCTGTGCAGGTATTGTATACTAAAACCATGCTGAACTCATTTATTAACTCTGATAAGGTATTTTTATGAATTCCTTAGGTTTTTCTACATATAAGTGCATATTATCTGTGAATAGAGATACTTTAACTTCTTTCATTACAATCTCATGTCATTTATTTTCTTGCCTAACTGTCCTGGGTCAAAACTATAGTACAGTGTTAAATAGATGATGTGAAAATAGACATTCTTGTTTTCTTGTTGATCTCGGGGTAAATCATTGTCTTTAACCATTAAGTATGATGTTAACTGTGAGTTTTCGCAGATGTTCTCTACGTAGGATGAGGAAGTCTCTTTCTGTTCCTAGTTTGTTGAGTGTTTTTCATCATAAAGGGTGTTATATTTTGTCAAATACTCTTTTTGTATCTATTGACATGATCATACGGCTTTTGTCCATTTAATATTGTTTATTACATTGACTGATTTTGGAATGTTAAAACAACCTTGAATTCCTGTGATAAATCTCCCTGGTCATGGTGTGTGGTCCTTTTTATATGTTGCTAGATTTGGTTTGCTAGTATTTTCTTGAGAATTTTTGTGTCTCTATTCATAACAGGTATTGTACTGTAGTTTTCTTTTTCTGTGATGTCCTCTTCTGATTTTGATATCAGGTGAAAACTGACCCCATAGGATAAATTGGGAAGCATTCCCTCTTATTATTTGGAAAAATTTGTAAATGTTTGATTTTGATTCTGTGAACACTTTGTAGAATTCACCAGTGAAACCACCTGAGTCTGGACTTTTCTTTGTGAGAATTTAAAAATTACTAATTCAATCTCTTGTTATACATTTATTCAGATTTTCTACTTTTTGAGTCAGTTTTGGTAGTTTGTGTCTTTTTCTAGGAATGAGCCTATTTCATCTAGGTTATCCAATTTGTTAGCATACAGTTACTCGTAATATTCCTCTATGATCCCTTTTTTACAATAAAATTTTATTTTAGGAAAGTTTTAGGAGGCTGAGACAGGCAGATCACTGAACTTCAGAAGTTCAAGACCAGCCTGGACAACATGGTGAAACCCCATCTCTACTACAAATACAAAAATCAGCCAGGCATGGTGGTGCACACCTGTAATGCCAGCTACTTGGGAGGCTGAGGAAGGGGAATCACTTGAACCTGGGAGGCAGAGGTTGCAGTGAGCTGAGATCATGCTACTACACTCCAGCCTGGGTGATAGAGAGAGATTTTGTCTCAAAGAAAAGAAAAGAAAAGAAAAGTTTTAGATTTCCAAAAAACAAAAAAAAAGAAAGTGAAGATTGCACCCAGAGTTCCCATATACACCATAGCCATTTTTCTTTATTATTAACATCTAATATTAATATAGTATATTTGTTATAATTAAGAAGCCATTACTAATACATTATTATTAACTGAAGTTCATACTTTATTCAGATTTCCTTAGTTTTAACTAATGTCCTTTTTAACTTAATGTTCCAAGATCCCATACAGGATAACACATTGCATTTAATTTTTTTTTTTTTTTTTTGAGACGGAGTCTCGCTCTGTCGCCCGGGCTGGAGTGCAGTGGCGGGATCTCAGCTCACTGCAAGCTCTGCCTCCCAGGTTCACGCCATTCTCCTGCCTCAGCCTCCCGAGTAGCTGGGACTACAGGCGCCCGCCGCCTCGCCCGGCTAGTTTTTTGTATTTTTTAGTAGAGACGGGGTTTCACCGTGTTCGCCAGGATGGTCTCGATCTCCTGACCTCGTGATCCGCCCGTCTCGGCCTCCCAAAGTGCTAGGATTACAGGCTTGAGCCACAGCGCCTGGCCGCATTTAATTTTAATGTCTCCTGATATTTTTTGGCTGTATCCCCATGCAAGTCTCATCTTGAATTGTCCACATAATCCCCATGTGTTGTGGGAGGGACAGAGTGGGAGGTAATTGAATCATGGGGGTGGTTACCTCCATGATGTTCTTGGGATCTTGAGTGAGTTCTCATGCAATTTGATGGTTTTATAGGGGGCTTTCCCCCAACTTCCCTATGCAGTTCTCCTTTATGCTGCCATGTGAAGAAGGACATGTTTGCTTACCCTTCCATCATGATTGTAAGTTTCCTGAGGCCTCCCAAGCCTTGCAGAACTATGAGTCAATTAAACCTTTTTTCTTTATAAGTTACCCAGTCTTGGGCGTGTCCTTATAGCAGCCCAATACAAACTAATACAGTAAATTGGTACCACAGAGAGTGGGGTGCTGTTATAAGGATACCCCAAAATGTGGAAGCAATTTTGGAACTGGGTAACAGGCAGAAGCTGGAACAGTTTGTCTTTTTTTTTTTTTTTTTCCTTTTGTGGAGAACGGGGTCTCGCTATATTACCCAGGCAGGTCTCGAACTGCTGGGCTCAAGCTATCCTCCCGCCTCTGCCTCCCTGAGAGCTGGGATTACAGGCGTGAGCCACCGCGCCCGGCCGAAGCTGGAACAGTTTGGAGGGCTCAAAAGAAGTTATGGAAATGTGGGAAAGTTTGGAACTTTCTAGAGACTTGGAGAGCTCAGAAGACAGGAAGATGTGGGAAAATTTGGAACTTCCTAGAGATTTGTTGAATAGCTTTAACCAAAATGCGGACAGTGATATGGACAATAAAGTCCAGGTAGAGGTTGTCTCAGATGGAGATGAGGAAATTGTTGGGAATTGGAGTAAAGGTCACTCTTCCTATGCAAAGAGACTGGGGGCATTTTGTCCCTGCCCTAGAAATCTGTGGAACTCTGAACTTGACAGATGATTTAGGGTATCCGGTGGCAAAGCATTCAAGCGGAGGCAGAGCTTAAAAGTTTGGGAAATTTGCAGCCTGATGATGTGATAAAAAAGAAAACCCTGTTTTCTGGGGAGAAATTCAAGCCTGCTGCAGAAATTTGCATAAGTAATAAGTAGCTGAATGTTAATCACCAAAACAATGGGGAAAATTTCTCCAGATCATGTCACAGGTCTTCACAGCAAGCTTCTCCCATCATAGGCCTAGAGGCCTAGGAGAGAAAAGTGGTTTCCTGGGCCAGGGCCAGGGCCATCCTGCTGTGTACAGCCTTGGCACTTGGTGCCCTGTGTCCCAGCCACTCCAGCCATTTGTAAAAAGGGCCAACATACAGCTCAGGTAGTTGCTTCAGATAGTGCAATCCCCAAGCCTTGGCAGCTTCCACGTGGTATTGGGCCTGTAAGTGTGCAGAAGTCAAGAATTGAGGTTTGGGAACCTCTGCCTAAATTTCAGGGGATGTAGGGAAAGGCCTGGATGTCCAGGCAGAAGTCTGCTACTGGGCCAGAGCCCTCATGGAGAACCTCTGCTATGGCAGTGTGGAAGGGAAATGTCAGGTTGGAGCCCCCACATAGAGTCCCCACTGGGGTACTGCCTAATGGAGCTGTGAGGAGAGGGCCACTGTCCTCCAGACCCCAGGATGGTAGATCCACTGACAGCTTGCATTGTGTGCCTGGGAAAGCCACAGACACTCAATGCTAGCCCATGTAAGCAATTGGGAGAGGAGCTGTACCCTGCAAAGTCACAGGGGCAGAACTGCCTAAGGCCATGGGAGCCCACCTCTTGCATCAACATGACCTGGATGTGACACATGGAGTAAAAGGACATCATTTTGGACCTTTGAGCTTAAAGACTGCCCTATTGGATTTGAGACTTGCATGGGGCCTGTAGCTCCTTTTTTTGGCCAATTTCTCCAATTTGGAATGTGTGTATTTATCCAATGCCTGTACCACCATTTTATCTAAGTAGTAACTAAGTTGCTTTTGATTTTACAGGCTCATAGGCAGAAGGGACTTGCCTTGTCTCAGACAAGACTTTGGGCTTGAATTTTTGAGTTAATGCTGTAATGAGTTAAGACTTTGGGGGACTGTTGGAAGGGTATGATTCTGTTTTGAAATGTGAGCACATGACATTTGGGAGGGGCCAGGGTGGAATGATATGGTTTGGTCGTGTCTCAATCCAAATCTCATCTCGAATTGTAGTTCCTATAATCCCCACGTGTCATGGGAGGGACCTGGGGGGAGATAATTGAACCATGGATCTGTTCAGTCAGTTGGGAGGTTAGGATTTCATTTTCATTTATCAATGCTAATGGGAATGATCAGGCTGTCTTCATGTCAGCTGAATTTGCAAGAAACTCCTTGGATGATGTTAATGGCAGCTGTATTTTTTGGGAGCTCTGCTCTAATTTGATAAAGTAAGTTCTGGCAAGATTTGTTCCTTTATCCTCAGTATCTCAAATGTTTTCATTCCAATAATCTTTATAACAATTTTTGATGTCTGAGTGGGTTCCCACACAGTCATCTATTGTAAGACTTTCTGATTCCTTTTTTTCCCTTTGGTCATTATGGATAGGGTTTCTGTACATAATTGCATGGTACCTTTTGTTTGGAAATAACATCAAAGTATTTGCTAAAGTATTTAGGAATGTGATTTTTGGATTGTAAGGTGAGACTTGTTGAGCTTTGGGAAAAACTGCCCCACTTGTAATAGGGGAAGAAAAATAATTTTCTCTCTCTGTTTTCAGAATTCTTAGATGGGACCCTCTGTAACAAATGACAGATTAAAATGAGAAAAATGTGGAAAAGTCTGAAAACATGTATACCTTATGGATACATGGGAGACACTCAGGGAAAAATGAGTAAATCTCCAACAATTGGCTTTCAATTCAAGTGTAAATACTATCTTCAACTTAAAGAAGATTTGAGGTGCAGTAATGGGAAGGTAACCAGCAAAAGGACAGTAGGTAAAGTTTGATATACAGACTTAAGTGCGTGCATTCTCCGTTGATAAGACTCTTCAGTGATTTAGTTATCCTTCTCTTCTTGGTGGAAAGAGAGATAGGTAGCTTTTAAATGGGGATTTCCTTTATAGATGTTAATTTTCCTTACACAAGAGTAACTTCTACTCTGTTTTCAGAACTTCTTTCATAGCATTTTTTCAAAATAATCATCTTGGAATAATTCTTAAGCCAAAGAGACATATTTTGGGTTGGCATATTCTGGATTCCTACCATTATATTTTGAGGTGGCATATTATGGTCTTCTACACTGTGTTCCACCAGCAATGAAGAGTTCTTGTCTTTCCTCCAGCAATTTGTCATTTTTTTAGAGTTTAGCAATTCTAACAGATATATACCAGCTGTGCTATCTCATTGTGGTTTTCAGTTCTGTACTATGTTGAGCATCTTTTTGTATGTTTACTTGCCATCTGTAGATCTTCTTTGGTGAGGTGTCTGTTCAGATCTGTGTGCATTTTTAATTGGGCTGTTTAACTTATTGTTTAGTTTTAAGGGTTTTTTTTTTGTATATTTTGAATACAAATTCTCAGATTTGAATTTTGCAAATATTGTCTTTCAGTATGTGGCTTGTTTTTTTTTATTCTCTTAATAAGATCTTTTCCAGGGTGTAAACTTTTAATATTAAAAAATCCACATTATTATTTCTTCTATGTGTATCGACTTTTTGTGTCGTTTGTTAAGATTCATTACCAAACCCAAAGACACATAGCTTTTCTTCTATGTTTTCTTCCAGAAATTGTAAGCCAGGTGCAGTCGCTCTCGACTGTAATCCCAGCACTTTGGGAGGCCGAGAGGCAGGCGGATCACGAGGTCAGGAGATTGAGTCCATCCTGGATAACACAGTGAAACCACGTCTCTACTAAAAATACAAAAAATTAGCCAGACGTGGTGGCGGGCACCCGTAGTCCCAGCTACTCGGGAGGCTGAGGCAGGAGAATGGTGTGAACCTAGGAGATGGAGCTTGCAGTGAGCTGAGATTGCACCACTGCACTCCAGCCTGGGTGACAGAGCAAGACTCCATCTCAAAAAAAAAAAAAAAAAAAAAAAAAAAAAAAATATTGCTGGCTACATGCCGATAAGTAGGACGAAGGGAGCATTCTTAAGAGAAACTTGGCACCATAAGTACAGATTAAGGCAGAGGACATTCAAAAGAGATAGGCAGGTGCAGTAGGTACAGACGTGACCACCATGAGACCTTCCTGAGATGGCAGGAAGGAGCCCAGTCCCCGAGTGGATTTGGATTGATCACCGCACATGTGCCCCAACCAACAGTGAGGGGGTCCCACAAGCCCAAGTGGGGAAAGTTAGGGATCTAAGGCAGGAGCAGGAAAACCAGACAAAGAAAACAGGTGGAGACTTGAGACAGAGGCATGAATGTGAAGAAACCCAAATTAAAATTTCCTGCACAGGACACTTGGCCTGTTTTCCTGCACAATCAGCCCACTCTTCCCTTGGGTCCTACCTATTTTTTTCTACAATAAGCTGTTTACACTGTATTTATTTTCAATGAAGTTATCTGCCATCTTTGTACTGCCTCCTGGTGAAAATCTTTCTTCCAAGTTAGACAAGAACTGGGACAACAGCTCTCTCCAGCGACAGCTCCTTTTGAGTTTGAATTTCCCAAACTGATGGCGCTGAATTACTGGTGCTCCGACTTTAAGTGGTGCAGAAAGAGGTTAGTAGGGGGCACTAGCCTCACACCTGGAGCAAGAGGGTCCTGCATAGTCCCCCAGATGCCTACAGGTGGTGTGCCACCACTACACGGCAAGCAAGAGGGCCAGGCAGTGTCCCCAGCTGCCAGCAGGGGGGCGCACGGACACCACACCATGAGAAAGGGGACCCTGCTGTGCCCTCGTTGCCAGCAGGGGGCATGCTGCCACTACACTGTGAGCAAGAGGGTCCTACAGTTGTCCTAGTCACCAACAGGTGGCACATGGGCACAGCACCATGAGCAAGCAGGCCCTGCAGTGCTCGGCTGCCAACAGGGGGTGCCTGAGTTAGCCTTTTCAGATTCCTGAGGTTCTGCCACCTGCCTGCCTCCCAGAGCCGTGCATAGCCTATGTGAGGGCGGAACTACATTCTTCTCAGCACACACCCAGAGGGCACCACGAAGGTGGAGCTGCATTCTGCTCACCACAGACTGGGGGGCACTGTGAGGGCAGACCTGCGTTCTGAGCAGCACAGACCCAGGGGTTACCACGAAGGCAGAGCTGCATTCTGCTCAGAACAGACCCAGGGGCACTGCAAAGGCAGAGCAGTGTTCTCCCCAGCACAGACGCAGAGGACACTGTAAGGGCAGGGCTGCTTTCTCCTCAGCACAGACCTTGGAGGCACTATCTCGCTTTGGGACAACTCAGGACCAAATCCACGGTGAGCGAAATCCTTCCTGTTTGCAGCCCTGAATCTTGAGGGTCACAGACTAGTTTGAAGGGCTCGGTGTGGAAAACTGGAAACCAAAAGACCCTCTAAATCCTATGCGCTGAGGTTCTCCCCACCCAAGGCGAGATGGCTGCAGTGCAAGGTCCATACTGCAGCCTCAGAACACAAAGGCATTCTTCATAATGCAGTCATGCCATCTGAAATACGAATACAACACCTGCAGTACTCATGTACCAAACATCTGTAATGCTGGCACACTACCTAAAAACGAAAATGTTATAAATCCTCACTCCCCATGCAAGCTGCAACCCAATACAGTGCTCACAATAATGAACACTGACATAATCAACACAAATGTAGCCACTAGCATATGGTTAGGGTTGCTCAGGGTTAGTGGTTACAGTTAGGGGTTGGGGTTACGATTGGGGTTAAGGTTAGATTTGGGGTTAGGATTAGGGTTGGAGTTGGGATTAGGGTTATGGTTAGGGTTTAGGGTTATGACTAGGGCTAGGGTTATGGTCAGGGTTACAATTTAGGGTTACAGCTAGAGTTAGAGATAGGGTCAGGGTTACGGTTTAGGGTTGGAGTTGGGATTAGGGTTATTATTAGGGTTTAAGGTTATGGCTCGGGTTAGGGTCAAGGTTACAGTTTAGGGTTACGGCTAGGGCTCTGGTCAGGGTTACGGTTAGGGCTTGGGTCAGGGTCAGGGTTAGGGCTCGGGCTTGGGTCAGGGTCAGGGTTATGGCTGGGGCTCGGGTCAGGGTCAGGGTAACGGCTGGGGCTCAGGTTATGGTCAGGGTAACGGCTACGGTGAGGGTGAGGGTGAGGGTCTTGGTGAGGGTTAGGGTCAGGGCGAGGGTCAGGGTCAGGGCTAGGCAAGGGCAAGGGCTAGGGTGATGGTTAGGGTGATGGTGAGGTTGAGGGTTAGGGGTGAGGTTGTGGGTGAGGGTTAGGGTGAGGGTGAGGGTTAGGATGAGGGTGAGGGTGAGGGTTACGGTGAGGGTTAGGGTTACAGTTAGGGGCTAGGGTTAGGGTTAGGGTTAGGATTAGGGTTAAGCATTAGGGTTAGGGTTCGTGTTTGGGTTTGGGTTTGGGTTAGGGTTTGGGTTAGGGTTCGGGTTCAGGTTCGGGTTTGGGTTAGGGCTAGGGCTAGAGTTCTGGTTAGGGTTCGGGTTTGGGTTTGGATTCAGGTTAGGGTTCGGGTTCGGGTTCTAGGACCTTTGACTGCAGGGAATCAAATGGCTGAACACCTAGTTGCTACTGCCATATCTAATGCTAGACAGTTTCACAATTTAACCCTTGTTAATGCCTCTGGTCTCAAATGCAGTTGCAGCATTACCTGGAAAGAAGCTAAAGCTGGGTGGTTTCAATATGGCCGATTAGGAACAGCTCCAGGCTACAACTCCCAGCGTGAGTGACACAGAAGACAGGTGATTTCTGCATTTCCAACTGAGGTACCGGGTTCATCTCGCTGGGGCGCATTTGACAGTGGGTGCTGGACAGTGGGTGCAGCCCACCGAGCAAGAGCCGAAGCAGGGTGACGTGTTGCCTTACCCAGGTAGTGCAAGGGGTAAGGGAATTCCCTTTCCTAGCCAAGGGAATCCCTGACACACAACACCTGGAAATTCGGGTCACTCCCACCTAATACTGTGCTTTTCCAAGGATCTTAGCAAACTGCACACTAGGAGATTATATCCTGCACCTATCTTGGAGGATTCCATGCCCACGGAGCTTCGCTCATTGCTAGCACAGCAGTCTGAGATCTAACTGCAAGGCAGCAGCGAGGCTGGGGGAGGGGTGCCCGCCATTGCTGAGGCTTGAGCAGATAAACAAAGTGACCGGGAAGCTCTAACAGGGTAGAGCCCACCGCAGCTCAAGGAGGCCTGTCTGCCTCTGTAGACTCCACCTCTGGGGACAGAGCATAGCCAAACAAAAGTGTGCACAAACCTCTGCAGATTTAAATGTCCCTGTCTGACAGCTTTGAGGAGAGTAGTGGTTCTCCCAGCACGGAGTTTGAGATCTGAGAACGGACAGACTGCTTCCTCGAGTGGGTCCCTGAGCCCCGAGAAGCCTAACTGGGAGGCATCCCCCAGTAGGGGCCGACTGACTCCTCACACAGCCAGGTGCCCCTCTGAGATGAAACTTCCAGAGGGACAACCAGGCAGCAACATTTGCTGTTCAGCAATATTCACCATTCTGCAGCCTCTGTGGCTGATACCCAGGCAAACAGGGTCTGGAGTGGACCTCCAGCAAACTCCAACAGACCTGCAGCTGAGGATCCTGACTGTTAGAAGGAAAACTAACAAACAGAAAGGACATCCACACCAAAACCCCATCTTTACGTCACCATCATCAAAGACCAAAGGTAGATAAAACCATCTTTTCTCATTGGTTAATGGCCATCCTGTGTCCGTAATGATGGTTAGTGTCCACGATAAAAATTTCAAATATAATTATATTTTGTGGCTAATAAGTTGTAACATTGAATTAGCACTAAGAATCTTCCTGCCATGAAGTCAGTTGTGTGTTCTCTGCATTCCCTGACCCTCACTTTTTGTGTAAAGTTTTGTGTATTACCTGATGAATAGAACAAAACTTGTTTGTGCCCATTTAACAGGTAATTCATGTTTTCAAAAGATAAGCATTATCTTTCTTTTATCACTTCTAATAATTCAACTCTGTAGTCCTGATCAGTGTGGCTTACAAACTGGAAGACTAAAGACATTTTTAAAAACCTAATAGCTAAGTTAGTTTTTGAAGCTATTAATATTGCTAAAATTATTGCTATAGAAAAGAGAAAAGAGCATGTTGAATAGAACTCTGTTATTAGAGATTTTTCCTGAAAAAGTCACATGTTATTTCTTCTCACCTCCACTGGCACCAAAAAAAAAAAAAAAAGAAAAGAAAAGAAAAAGCTATATGGTCTTGCAAAACTTTAAGCAGGTGGGTTGGAATGGGCCAGAAGTATGGTTAGAGGTGGGGTCATGGTCAGGGTCAAGATCAGAGTCAGGGTCAAAGTCAGGGTCAGAATTAGGGACCAGGGTAGGGATCAGGGTTTAGGGTTAGGGTCAAAGTCTAGAGACAGGATTGGGGTTAGGATTAGAACCAGAGATTTGTTCTCCTCAGGACCCACCAGAGAAGAGGCCATGACTTTGGAGCACCTGGTAGTGTGTCCACAGTGAAGACTAGAGTTTCATTGTCCTCAAGACTGACCTGGGGAGACGTGGCTGTGGGCCAGTGAGGAACGTGAGGCAAAAGCTTCCTGTCTGCTCCCTGGGTGCTAAAGGGAGCTCTGCCATGGGCTTTACTTCACACGTTATATCCTGCAAATCTTGTTTTACAAAAGCATCCCTTCCTCGAGGCTTTGGTTGCTCATCATCACAGCGTGTCATAACATATGGTAAGATTTGGGTTTGCTTCAGCGGGGAGATCTTGGTACAGAGAAAGGAGCAATGCTTAGAGCCACCTCAGGACAGTTGGGATGAAAGCTGGGGATGGGTGGAGGCTGGAGGAAACATGTGCACCCCCTGTAAACACTTTTATTCATGCTTTCATTACTCATTTTTCTTACAGTGTTAAAGTAGTAAAAATGGTATTGAAAAATTGAAGAGTAGGCATATTAAAACTTGCAACATTATTTAAGTTTAAATATATTATTTGTACCTCATCAACATTTTTTATTTTGTTGAGAAAGTCTAAGGTTAATTGGCAGCATATTTTAATAGTAGATAGAATAATATCTGTTTTATAAACATTGACATCCTACATTACAGGTGTGAACCGTGAAAGTCTGAGACAGGTCTCAGATTTTTTAGAAAGTTTATTTTTCCAAGTTTGAGGATGCGCCCCTGATGCCTCTGCAGGAGGTCCCGACAACACAGGCCCAAGGTGGTCGGGGCCCAGCTTGGTTTTACACACTTTAGGGAGACGTGAGACATCGATCAATATGTGAAAGATGTACCTTGGTTCAGTCCAGGAAGGTGAGACAACTTGAAGAGAAGGCCAGACAGGGAGCCTCCAGGTCATAGGTAGGTAAGACACAAATAGTTTCATTCTTTTGAGTTGCCGGTTACCCTCTCCCGATGAGGCACTCAGATACACGTTTCTCTTGGTGAGCAGACGGGTGACTTTGGACAGAATGGGAGGCGGGTTTGCCCTCAGCAGCCCCAGCTTGACTTTTCACTTTAGCTTAGTGATTTTGGGTCCCCAAGGTTGATTTTCCTTTCACAAGGTCTAACATGTTTTCCTATGAGCATTAAGTATTCATTGGGTATTTTATTACACAAGGCACAGATTTTTAAAAAATCATCAACTTCATGACTAGCTCTATAGACATAACAACATAGAGGTTCAACCAAATTTGGAAACATTCCAGAGTTTTGGTTTCTAATACTTCTTTGTGATTCTTTAAAAGGTAAAGTATTTTTTTTCCGTAAAGCATAGTAACATCTAAAATCACCCGTAGAATGTCCTTTCATTTTTTTTCTCTAGTTTCCCCATTTTCTGCAAAGCCTCATTGAGGAAATTGACTTTTAATATCCTTTTACACGCTTCTGTTTTAGAAATCTTTGTGGTAAAACATTGAATATTCATGGTCACAAGTTCTGTTCACATTCTTTCTTTCTTTGAATATTTTTTTCCCAGTGGCCAATATTTGATTCTGTTGTATTATGGCTAAAAAGTAGGCATGGAACAAAATAAAGACAAGAAGTCTTTGGAAGAAGTGATCCAGTCACAGTGAATCAATTTGCCATTGGAACATATTTTTACAAAGTCACTCTTTTGAAAATATTTTGTCATGAATTGAAACAGAGTCTGGTAGGTTATTTTTTTTCCTGGTCTAAAGTGAACAGCATTTTAGAGAATGAACCCAGGATACAACCACAGCACAAGAAAAAAATATGATAAATAAGTTTACACATATGTGTTACCACTGTAACAGAAAACATGTAAAGAACATTTATTTTGATTTATATATCAGTCTGTATTGTTTAATTTTTTTGTGTCATAAATGCTCTTATTTAAAAAACAGGACTAGTTAACAGTGTCAATTACTAGCAGTTCATGGTATAAATAATTAAACAAGGAAGTGTTAGAAAAACATAACAATGTTTCAAATACAGCTATATTTTATAGCAGTTTTTGACTTACACAGAAATTGCAAAAAAGAAAAATTGCAGAGATTTCCACTGTAGCGTCAACCTACTTTCTTCTCTTATTAACATCTTCTGTCAGTGTGTCTCACGTGGCTTATTAATATCTTACATAATGTGTCACAGTTAATGAACAAATACTGATGGACTATTATTAACTAAAATTCATATTTCATTTGGATTCCCTTAGTTCCATCTTACCCTGACCCATCCAGGATCCCGCATGACATGTAGTCATCACGTAGGTGGCTCCTGGATGTGACAGCGTGTCTGGCTTTCCATCTCATGATGACCTTGACAGTATTGAGGAGGATTGGTCAGGAATTTTGTAGAATGTCCCCCATTGTAATTAAACATGGAATTTTTCTTATAATTAGACTGGGGTTCTGGGTCTGGAAGAAGTAGATCACAGAGGTGAAGTGCTACTCTTGTCACTTCATTTTCTCATGGTGAACTGTCGCCTTTGATGTTCACTTGGATTGTTCGGCAGAGCTAGTTTGTCAGGTTTCTCCACTGTGATGTTATTTTTCCTCCTTGTCCATACTGCACGTGTTCTTTCGGAACAAGTCACTATGTGGAGCCCACACTTACAGAGTGAGGAGCTCCACCTTCTTGACGGCTGACTGTCTACCTCAATTATTTGGAATTCTTTTGCAAAGGTGATTTCTATTCAACTCCATTTGCTTATTCACCTATGTATACAAACACAGACACCTAGATAATTACCTAAAGCTTTAGATACTATTCAGCACTACAGCATTATGTTGCACAATTCATTCCTGTGTTAGTCATGGGTAGCTCTTTTTATTGGCTCCTATTTTTCTTTCAATAAAAGAATTAATTTTTATTTATTTTTATGACATATTTTAATTTTTTTTGTACATATTTACTTTCTGATACTTCAAGATTATCTGGCTCATATATTTACTGTCCCAGTTCTAGTACCAGACATTTCTTCAAAGAGCCTGATTCCTTTGAGAATGGTAGGAAAACTTACATCTGACTGCTGAATGAGCACATTATATCTTGTCCCTCCTTAGCAATGCTAGGAAGTATACGTGTGCATCTAACAGACCTATACACCCCTAATTATAAAGGTTTCTGTGTGGAACTGTATGTATCTATATTAAACCAAATGTAAGTTTATGTTGATGTCTCCACCTCTGATCTATCATATGAATCATTCTAGCCTTCTCCCCTTGCTAATTTGTAATCTCCCACTTCAACAGTGAGAGACCTGGTTCCTACCATCTGCAAGTTATGTAAGTCATTGTTTTATTCCAGATAAGGATACTGTGGTTTTACAATTGTTCACAATTACTCCTGTTGGAAAGAACTTTATAAAATGGAATCCAGTGATGAAGTGTAGTTCATTTGCCTTCAGCCTACAGAGTCTATTCATTTTTGAAGTGACTTAGGTCAACACCATTTTCTCTACACCTTCAGTAAGTTTTTTCATACATTTGTGTCTTAGTCCACTTTGTGCTTCTGTAACAGAATACCTGAGGCTGGGTAATTTATAAGTAAAAAAGGTCCATTTGGCTCACAATACTGGTGGCTGGAATGTCCGAGATTAGGCAGTTGCATCTGGTGGGGCCTCAGTCTTTTTCACCTCATGGTGGAAAGTGGAAGGGGAGCAAGGGGTGCACCAGAGATCACATGGCAAGAGCGACAGCAGGAGGGAAGCCAAGGAGCCCAGACTCTTGTTAACTCCTACCCCTGCAGGAATTAATCCATTCCTGTGAGAGCAGAACTCACTCATCCCCATGGAGGACATTAACCTATTCACGAGGAATCCGTCCTCATGACCCAAACACCTTTCACTGGGCCCCACCGCCCCACACTGCCACACTGGGGGTCAAATTTCAACACGAGTTTTTGCAGGGACAAACCACATCCAAACCATAGTAATTTGTAGCATAGTTAATTTCTTTTTCACATGATGTATTCTGTGTTGTGATACTCCACATCCTGAATAATTTTATTTAATTTGAATAGAGTTTGGCTTACCTGTTTGGCTGTAAAATTCTGCGTGTTTTGACAAATGCATAGTGGCAGGTACCCACTATTAAAGTATCATATGGAATGCTTCAAACCCCCACTCCATGGAACCAATGGCTTCCCATCTGTGTAGTTTGCCTTCTCCAGAATCTCATCAAATGAAGTCACACTGTGTATATTCTCCTCAGACTGTCTTCTTCCACTTAGCAATGTGCATGCAAGATTCACTAATGTCTTTGTGTGAGTTGGTAGCTTGTTCCTTTCTACGGCTAAATAGTATTCCATTGCATGAATGTACCACAATTTGGTTATGCATTTGGGGAGCAAAACCTTCCTCTTCTAACTTTGTTCCAGGGTTGGAGACCTTCAAATTAACTGACAATAGATACATTAATAGGAGAGACAATATTTGGCTTCTTATTCCACAAGTATCATTGTAGGACAAAATTCATCAGATGGCAGGATCCAGTTTACAAACAGGTAAAACTAGCCCAAAGACAAGAAACTAGACTAGAATCTGATAACCCACAAAGGCTATAGATTTCCTTTTATTTATTTAAATTTTTTATTATACTTTAAGTTCTAGGGTACATGTGCACAACGTGCAGGTTTGTTACATAGGTATACATGTGCCATGTTGGTTTGCTGCACCTATCTACTCATCATTTACGTTACATATAGTTTTCCTCAAAAAAGATTTTTTTGAGACAGGGTCTGGCTCTGTTTCCCAGGCTGGAGTGCAAAGGTGCAATCTTAGCTCACTGCAACCTCTACCTCCTACGTGCAAGCGATCCTCCCTCCTCAGCCTCCTGATTAGCTGGGACTACAGGCACATGCCATCATGCCCATCTAATTTTTCTGTTTTTAGTAGACACGAGGTTTCACCATGTTGCCTAGGCTGGTCTTGAACTCCTGGCCTCCCAAAGTGCTGGAATTATAGGCATGTGCCACCACGCCCATCCAACTTATAGTTTTCCATTGAAATATAAAATTTATCTCTGTAGTAACCATCATTTTTGATCATAGATAATCAAAGTAAGATTATTCTTGTTTCAAAAATAAGTCTAGCCTTGTTAGATTTTGCCTGATCATTTATGTAAATGCAGCAAGAACAAGAGTTGACCACATAGGTGCTTTCAAGCTTCCTTGCTGCAAATTTTCATACAGAATCTCAGATTGGACTTTTAAAGACCTTATTGAGGCTAAAAGCCAAGCCAAGAACATACTATCAAATTTCAGCTGCAGTCCTTATAGCTTTGTGTGAATTCCTCTCTGCTTGAGGCCCTCAAAATAGCCCCAAATTCCTGGGCCTACAAGGAAATGTCCTTCCTTACTAATCTGTAAGGCTATGAACCCCATAATCTAGGTATCAGACTGGCTTTTCTCAGAGTGCTTTGTAAGCATTGACTCCATAAAATTCAACCTTAGTTCCTTACAATTGCTAGTCATAACTAGTCTGAGGTACACTTCCTAAATATGATATTTCAGTAAAAGCCTTGATAATATAACCAAACTTTCCAATTATGTCCTGTTACAAGGTGAACAGATTCTTACTGGACTTTTGCTAACAACTATATTGTCATGAAAGTAAGAGTATTCAGTAAGAATTTCAAAATTCTAGAGAAATCAGGTGGGGAAAAAAAGATAAATGCTCCATTTCTGTTTACAAAAGCATAATCTACTAAAATTGTTGTGAGTTAGAGTTAGCTTAAGAGTGGCCAGGTGCGGTGGCTCACGCCTGTAATCCCAGCACTTTGGGAGTCCGAGATAGGCGGATCACGAGGTCAGGAGATCAAGACCATCCTGGCTAACATGATGAAACCCCGTCTCTACTAAAAAATAAAAGAAATTAGCCGGCGTGGTGGCGGGCGCCTGTAGTCCCAGCTACTCGGGAGGCTGAGGCAGGAGAATGGCGTGAACCTGGGAGGTGGAGCTTGCAGTGAGCCCTCCAGCCTGGGCGACAGAGCGAGACTCCATCTCAGAAAAACAAGAATTAGCTTAAGAGAAAGAGATTTCTTTTTTTTTTTCTTTTTTTTTTTTTTTGAGACTGAGTGTCGCTCCGTCTCAATTTCTCAATGTGATAGGCAAAAACATGTTTATTAACAGGCCAAAATTCTAGTTTCTCTGTAAAAATAAGAAGCCAAAAGTATATAAACCTGAATTACTTATGTTCAGTAATTAATGTTTTAGTATTATATCTTATTTATAAATGATGTAGATATTTAATGGAAATATTTTACTTAGCTTAACTTTAAGGTTAAAAATTACCAAAAGTATTTTGTAAACTACTATTAGGCAGATTTACTGTAAAAAACTTATTATTGAAATAATGTTTTTCGCTTTTCACAAGATGGCACCAAAAACGAAAGAAGCTCCTGCCCCTCCTAAAGCTGAAGCCAAAGCAAAGGCTTTAAAGGCCAAGAAAGCAGGGTTGAAATGTATCCACAGCCCCCCCCCCAGAAAAGATCTGTACCTCACCCACCTTCCAATATCCCTAGACACTGCGACTCTGGAGGCAGCCCAGATATCCTGGGAAGAGCGTCCCCCAGAGAAACAAGCTTGACCACCATGCTATCATCAAGTTTCCACTGACCACTGAGTCAGCCATGAAGAAGATAGAAGACAACAATATGCTTGTGTTCACTGTCGAAGTTAAAGCCAACAAGCACCGGATCAAACAGACTGTGAAGAAGCTCTGGGACGTGGATGTGGCCACGGTCAACATCCTGATTCGGCCTGACAGAGAGAAGTAGGAATATGTTCGACTGGCTCCTGATTAGGATGCTTTGGATGTTGCCAAAAAACTTGGGATCATCTAAACTGATTCCAGCTGGCTGATTCTAAATAGATGTATATGTTTTCACCATAAAAAAAAGGAAATAATGTTTTTCATAAGAATGACAACTTAAAATCTTTACGCTTATAGATTTGATTCTAATTATCTAGTAAGTATAATATTAGCTTCTGGTAAGCACTCAAGCAGAATAGACACTTGTTTGTTGGCCGGGCATGTGGACTCACACCTGTAATCCCAGCACTTTGGGAGGCTGAGGAGGGTGGATCATGAGGTCAGGAGATCAAGACCTTCCTGGCTAAGACTGTGGAACCCTGTCTCTACTAAAAATACAAAAAAAATTAGCTGGGCACGGTGGCAGGTGCCTGTAGTCCTGGTTACTTGGGAGGCTGAGGCAGGAGAATGGCCTGAACCCAGGAGGCGGAACTTGCAGTGAGCCGAGATCGCACCACTGTACCCCAGCCTGGGTGACAGAGAGAGATTACATCTCAAAAAAAAAAAAAAAAAAAAACTTGTTTGTTTTATATTTAATAGTGGTAACTCCTCTGAAGACATAGTTGTTTTATTACACAAAAAATATTAAATTTATCTTATTTAACTAAGTTGTATCCAAATCATGTTAACTTGAAAAACATTTGGATCGGTTCTTATATTTCTAGGAGTTTGGGGAATATTTATTTATCAATGATTTTTTTTCCAAGCCAAGTTAGAATAGAACACTTTTAGAGGATTTTATAAATGAATTTTGCAGTGCTATCCAGAGTTAAGAAAAATCACATACAGAACATACATTAATAGACATACAAACACAAATAGAGATCTCATAGCTTTCATCCTGAAATTTTAGTCACGAATCAGGCATAAATATTCTGACGGTTAATTTTAGATGTCTGCTGGATTGGATTAAGAGATACTAACATAGCTGGTAAAGCACAGTTTCTAGGCATGAGTGTGAGGGTGTTTCTGGAAGACACTGAGATAAGGAAGATCCACTCTGACCCAATGTGGATGGGCACTGATACGATTTGACTGTGTCCCCACCCAGATCTCATCTTGAATTTTAGCTCCTATAATCCTTACATGTTGTGGGAGGGACCCGGTTGGGGACGACTGAATCATGGTGGTGGTTACTGCCATGCTGTTCTCATGATAGTGAGTGAGTTCTCATGGTATAATGATTTTATAAGGGGCTTTTCCCCTTTGGCTTAGCACTTCTTGCTGCTGCCATGTGAAGAAAGATATCTTTGCTTCCCCTTCCATCATGATTGTGAGGCCCCTCCAGCCATGTGGAACTGTCAGTCCATTAAACCTCTTTGTTCTTTGTAAATTGCTCAGAGTCAGGTACTTCTTCATAGCAGTATAAAAACAGACGAATACAGGCACCATCCAATTGCTTGAGAGCCCAGATAGAACAAAAAGGAAGAGGAAAGGTGAATTATCTCCTTCTGAAACGGAAACATCTTTCTCTTGCCTTTGACATCAGAACTTCAGGGTCTCAGGCCTTTGGCCTCAGAACGAGAGTTACACCATTGGCTTAACTGATTCTGAGTCCTTTGGACATGGACTGAGCAATGCTACCAGCTTTCCTGGTTCCCCAACTTGGAGACAGCCTATCATGGACTTTCTCAGCCTTCATAATTATGTGAACCTTCTCTCATCTGTCTATATACATATATCCTACAGATTGTGCCTTTCTGGGGAACCCTGACTAATGTGATGACAATAATAAAAAATTTACTAGTTTATATAGAAGACTTGGTTTTTGTCTTTACCCCATTTTATGTTTGTATTATAACTGTGTTGCTGGAAAATGGAACAAGTTATTATCTTCTTCATATGAGGGCTAAAGCTTTTTATCACCAATGTTTTTGGAGATTTTTAAGATTTTCAAGATTTTCTTTTGACATATAATCTTATGAAGCTGATAATTAAATTTTATTTTTTCTATTTTATTTTTCAGCCTCAGGTGTCTGCTTTTGCAGATCCTTGAGCACATTGAGAGCCTCCAAGGCATGGAGTGGGGTTCCTAAAGTTTCAGTGATTATAGGGAGTTGAGAGACTCAATTAGGAAAGGAAAGGTCTAAAGGAGGCAATTTGGAAGATCAAAATTTTCTCAAAAGAACTATTAAAGTTCTAAATAATTCTTAGTAAAGTCATGCAAACAGGAAAGGAAGTAGACAGAATTAGTTCCATATTGGTGGAACACACAGCAGAGGTTTGAGAAGGGAGAATTTAGTCAACTGAGAAGTTCCCATGAAAGGAGCAAGATCAAGATCACAGAGACACCATGAAACAAAAAGCCAGGAATAACTTCCAACCCAAGAGGAGAACATAGAGGCCTCAAAACCAAAGCTAGGATAAGAAACTTCTAGCCCAAGATTTACCTTTCAGACAAAGAAGCCTGAGATTCCAACCCACCTTCAGAGAGTACTCACTCAAAATGTTATTCAAACTGTAGGCTTTTTAATGACTTAGCCCTGCATGCAAAAGGCATTCCCTAAGGTGGCACAGAAGATGGAGCCCCCATATCCAAAGATAGCCAAGGAGAAAGAAAGACCCCTGTTGCCAGAGCCAGTGGGCAAAGGTAACAAAGAAAGAGACAAGGGTCCTTATGGGATGAGACCCTTGCAGATTTAGACTTATACAAACTCCTGAGAACTGGCAGGATGACAACCATAAATGGGGTACTAACATTTCTACTCATTGGATTACAAGTTCTCAGGCATCTAAAATGATTAACAAAATGGAGATTTCTAGGGCTTCTGTGGGAGAGTATGGAAGGTCTTTTTGAACTTTTTAATGCTGTCAACTGGAGAATGATGAGCTTCATAAATTCGGAAAGGAGAGATTTCATTTTTTTTTTTTTTTGAGTCAGAGTTTCACTCTTGTTGCCAAGGCTGGAGTGCAGTGGAGTGATCTTGGCTCACTGCAAGCTGCACCTCCCAGGTTCAAGCGATTATCCTGCCTCATCCTCTCAAGTAGCTGGGACTACAGGCATGCACCACCATGCCCAACTAACTTTTGTATTTTTGTTAGAGACAGGGTTTCACCATGTTGGCCAGGATGATCTTGATCTCTTGGTCTCAGGTGATCCACCCGCCTCGGCTTCCCAAAGTGCTTTGATTATAGGCATGAGCCACTGCACCCTGTGAGAGATTTATTTCCTGTAAAGGGTTGCAGCCTGCAGCATAGTCCTGACAGGCTAGGAAGCATAACCTCCAGCCAGAAGTCAGAAACAGACACTTCAAGGGAGAGGTAAAGGAAATAGTAATTTATACTGAGTGGCATGGCCAAATACATATATTTAATAAGCTCTAGGAGGAGTCATGCATATTTATGAAAGGAGAAATGCATGCATGCACAATTGAGTTTCTTGCTCCTTCATGGGTCCAATGTACAAAAAAATGGCAGTGTTAACATGATCCCAGGGTGGAGTGTTCAGCCCTCTGACATTAAAAATTGAAGCAGAGGATATGAAAACTCTCTCTGTGCATCCTGTGTACGCTGTCCAGAACCTCTCCATCATGGGTGGTCTCTTATCAGGCAAGAGAGGAGAGGCAGCTTCAGGCAGTTGGTTGAAATCAGTGGTGGAGTCTTTTGAAAGGCTTGTTTCTGTTAAATCCTTAGGGAAGAAAGCCTCATCATGGTTAGCAAAGGAGGGGATATAATGAGGTGTATCTGACCCCTGTCTTCCTATCGTGCCCAACTTGTAATACGGGAGGAAAAATAATTTTCTCTCTACCTTTACGGAATTCTAAGATGGGACCCTCTGTAAATCTGAGAACTCAGTTTTGAAAGTCACTCTGGGATCCCCTCAGCCAAGAGTGGGTCTGTTCAGTCAGTTGGGAGCTTAGGATTTCATTTTCATTTATCAGTGCTAATGGGAAGGTGTAGGCTGTCTTCCTGGCAGCTGAATTTGAAAGAAACTCTTTGGATGGGGTTAATGGCAGCTGTATTTTCTGGGAGCTCTGCTTTAATTAGATAAAGTAAGCTCTGGTAAGATTTCTTTCTTTATCTTCGGTATCTCAAATGTTTTCATTTAAATAATCTTTATAACAACTCTTTTTTTTTTTTTTTTTTTTTTTTTGAGACAGAGTCTTGCTCTGTTACCCAGGCTGGAGTGCAGTGGCACAATCTTGGCTCACTGCAAGCTCCGCCTCCCAGGTTTATGCCATTCTTCTGCCTCAGCCTCCCAAGTAGCTGGGACTACAGGTCCTCGCCACCACACCCGGCTAATATTTGTTGTATTTTTTTTTAGTAGAGACGAGGTTTCACCACGTTAGCCAGTATGGTCTCGATCTCCTGACCTCGTGATCCACTTGCCTCGGCCTCCCAGAGTGCTGGGATTACAGGCATGAGCTACCGTGCCTGGCCCCTATGACAACTCTTGATGTCTGAGTGGGTTCCCACACAGTCATCTGTCGTAAGACTTTCTGATTCCTTTTTTTCCTTTGGTCATTATGAATAGGGCTTCTGTACATAATTGCATGGTAGCTTTTGTTTGGAAATAATATCAAAGTAGCTGTCAAAATACTTATGAATGTGATTTTTGGATTGTAAGGTGAGACTTGTTTAGCTTTGGGAAAAACTGCCCAACTTGTAATAGGGGAGGAAAAATAATTTTCTCTCTACCTTTACAGAATTCTTAGATGAGACCCTCTGTAACAAATTACAGATTAAAATGAGAAAAAAGTAGACAAGTTTAAAAACATGTATACCTTATGGATACATGGGAGATATTCAGGGAAAAATGAGTAAATCCCCAACAGGTGGCTTTCAATTCAAGTGTAAATGCTATCTTCAACTTAAAGAAAGAAGAGTTGAGGCTCAGTAGTGGGGAGGTAACAAGCAAAAGCACAGTAGACAAGGGTAAGTTTTCTTATACAGACTTAACTCCATGCATTCTCTGTTGATAAGACTCTTTAGTGATTTAGTCATCCTTCTCTTCTTGGTTGGTGCTGAGAGAGAGAGAGAGAGAGAGATCTTTTAAATGGGGATTTCGTTTATAGATGTAAATTTTCCTTACACAAGGGTAACTTCTCTGTTTTCAGAACTTCCTTTTTAGCATTTTT